TGTGTGTTTGTGTGCAAAAGCATGATATTATGAAGAAAACTTTGTATACACAAAGCAAAGATGCATGCACAAAATTAAGCAATAAATATTACTAAATAATTGAACATATTAATAAACATTATCTGGAAATACTTTGTATTTTGTTTTTCTACAAAACATTTTTTCTGACCAACATCAGAATACTAGATATATATATATATATATATATATATATATATACAGTGTGTATATATACACACACTGTATATAGCTCTTTTCACATTAAATATCATTGCAAAGCAGAAAAACCATTAAGCAAGCTAACGACAACAGTCAACCTAGAAATATACAAACTTTTCATATGTACGATGAAAAATTTAATTCTTAGTGTTTCATGACCAACATCAGAATACTAGAGATATATATATATATATATATATATATATATATATATATATATATATATATATATATATATATACAGTGTGTATATATACACACACTGTATATAGCTCTTTTCACATTAAATATCATTGCAAAGCAGAAAAACCATTAAGCAAGCTAACGACAACAGTCAACCTAGAAATATACAAACTTTTCATATGTACGATGAAAAATTTAATTCTTAGTGTTTCATTGTGTAAAAGAAAAATGTTGCCTCAAATTGTAACCCAGTTCGAATATCATTGATTTATATAGTATTATATCCTTAGATTCCTTACCAATGGAGTATGGGTTACATCACCAAAAATTTCAAAGCAAACTATTATGCTCTGATGAGACATTTCTTTCACTAGAGTAATGCGCACTGATGAATCACGCACAACCAGGGAAATTTATTATGGTTGTAAAAGGGTTCATCTTGATTTGAAGCTGTCTTTAAGAATGAAACTGAAGTTGCAAACAGCTGCCTATAAAACTAAGAGCAAACAAAAAGTTGTAGCTTCTAGAAACGTAAACACAATGCACACGTCTAGCAACTAAAATGTGCAATGCCTTCCAGCTGTGCAGAGAAAAAACGATAACGAGAAGCAGTCCATACCAGAATGCTTCAAAAACAGCCACCCTAAATAATGAAGTCCAAAAATAGAAAGACATATTTCCTAAAAAGGAAGGTCTCATCTTGAGACTGTCTGCCTATACGGTAAAGTCTTGAGCAATCAAGCAATCACTGGCAAAACTTGTAGAGCAGTTAGACATGTAATTACCCTTCAACACTCCATTGCTCTTGGCAGCACTGATTTTCATACATTCCAAGGCAATGATATAATTTTATAAGCCACTATTATGTGCTACATTGGTTTGCGGTACAGTTCCTACTTCATAAATACCAGAATATCTTGCATATATAACTACAGCCACACATTATTTTTGATTGTGACATCTACAATACTGAAAGATTTCTGTTTAACGTGAAGTGTATACTGCATTTTCTGGGACTGGTACTAGTCCTGCAGTATAGACAAGGAAATACTTTAAGGAAGGCAAATAAGACATTGTCATGTGCAGAACTACACTTACTTTTTCTTTCTTTTCCTCATTGTCAGATGGTAATCTTTGAGAGACTCTGAGTTTTACAGAGCCCTCTCTGAATATGTCACCAAAGCCGATGCCCTTGATCTTCTTCGGTTGGGCCATGACTCCATTGCCTTGGTGAGGGGATGTGGGGCTAGACGCTCCATCTCTGTTATCTGTGAACACACACTTCTGTATGAGTACCACCACAACAAGCTTTACACAATTTTGATTAAAAAAAAAAGTAATGTCATGTGCAAAGTAGACTGTATAAACATTGTTAAAATAACTGATAGGCACATGGTCAGAATTGTTGGTACCCTTGGTAAATATGATCAAAGAAGGCTATGAAAATAAATCTGCATTGTTAATCCTTTTGATCTTTTATTTAAAAAGAACCTATATTTTATTATTTTTTTATATGAAATATATTTGATTTAAAATATATTTCAGATATATTTTACTCATAAGAATTTCTAGGGGTACCAGTAATTGTGTCCAACCTGTACAACAACCTGTACATTTCTTTACAATTTCTCCTTTTCGGGTTGCACAGAAGAAAGAAATTCATACGGATTTGGAGAAACATGACAGTAAGTAAATAATGACATTTTTCATTTCAAACTTAAATTTTTTGGGTGAACTAGTTCTTCAAATGTACACCAAATATTTATTCAGTATGGGCCATTATTACTTAATTTATACGTTCAGAAGTTTGGGGTTTGCAAGAATGTTTTTGAAAGTCTCTTATGCCCATCAAGACTGCTTTCACTTGATCAAAACTGCAGTAAAACCGTAATATTGTGAAATATTATTACAATTTAAAATAACTGTTTTTTAATATATTTTTATTCCTGTGATGGCAAAACGGAGCTTTCAGCAGTCAAGTATGGTGATTTGGTGCTCAAGAATAATTTCTTATTATTATCAATGTTGAAAACAGTTGTGATGCTTAAAGGGATAGTTCACCCAAAAATTCTGTCATTAATTACTCACCCTCATGTCGTTCTAAACCCGTAAGACCTTTGTTCATCTTCGGAACACAAATTAAGATATTTCTGATCAATTTTGACAGCTCTCTGACCCTCCCATAGACAGCAATGTAATTACCACGATCAACGTCCAGAAACGCAGCAAGGAGATCGTAAAATAATCCATGTGATATCAGGGGTTCAAACTGTAATTTTACGAAGCTACGAGAATACTTTTTGTACGCAAAGAAAACAAAAATAACGACTTCATTCAACAATTCGTCTGCGTCACCCTGGTGCCATTTTGGAGAATATCCACTGAACACAAACGGTGTATGCTATTCTGTGTCAGCTGCACCACACAGATACGTTTTCTATGTTGTTTACACTTTGATTTGAACGAAAACAACGGTGCATTATATAGAGCTCTTAGAATTCATCAAAAATATCTTAATTTGTGTTCCCAAGATGAACAGAGGTTTTACGGGTTTAGAACGATATGAGGGTGAGTAATTATTAGGGATGTAACAATTAACCGTGAGCCGGTTGAAAATCTATTCAAATATGTGACGATTCACATCGGTTGAGATGCTAAACAAATAGCAATTCAATTAATTTTTTTTTTTTTTTATAATTTTCAAATTTTTAAATTCCTTGTTTTATTGTTGTGATTACTGTTTTTATTTTATTTTATGTAAAGCACTTTGAATTACCATTGTGTTTGAAATGTGCTATACAAATGACCGTGGACTTCAGGAGAAACCCCTCTGCACTCCCCCCACTCACCATCATGGACAGCACTGTGACTGCAGTGGAGTCATTCAGGTTCCTGGGCACCACAATCTCTCAGGACCTGAAGTGGGACACTCACATTGACTCCATTGTGAAAAAGGCCCAGCAGAGGTTGTACTTCCTTCGCCAGCTGAGGAAGTTCAACCTGCCACAGGAGCTGCTGAAACAGTTCTACTCCGCCATTATTGAATCTGTCCTCTGCACTTCAATAACTGTCTGGTTCAGCTCAGCTACCAAATCTGACCTCAGAAGACTTCAGAGGGTAGTCCGGACTGCTGAGCGAATCATTGGTACAACCCTCCCTTCTCTCCAATAACTGTACTCGTCCAGAGTGAGCAAAAGGGCTGGCAGAATCACTCTGGACCCCTCACATCCAGCTCACTCCCTCTTTGAACTGTTGCCATCTGGTCGACGCTACAGAGCTCTGAGCACCAGAACGACCAGACACAGGAACAGTTTCTTCCCTCAGGCCATCCATCTCATGAACACTTGACAATAACTGTGGAACACACACTATTTATTCACTCATACACTTATTTATCTAACACACACACTCAGTCTACATTTCAATTTGCACATAATATACCTGTACATACAACTGTCTATTGTTGTATACCTGTACATACAATTGTCGATTTGTATATTTTTATTCCTTATTTACGTTCTATTTTTCTATTTTTTATTATCTGTGTTTTTGTTCTGTCACTGTCATTCTGTTACACTGTGGAGCTTCTGTCATGAAAACAAATTCCTCATATGTGTAAACATACCTGGCAATAAAAACTCATTCTGATTCTGATTCTGATTCTGATTATTATAATAAAACGTTGTGCATTCTTTGGGTTTAGTTGCTGTGTTTCAGCGCGTTGTTATGGGAAGAGCGCATCCACAACAGGATCACACATTCTGACTATAGCATGCAATAACTGCGTCATTTGTCATTTCATATATAAGTTGTAATATTATGTTTATGTTGTATTAATATTAATCTCAGGATGCATTTCCTTGAGTTAAATAAGCTGCCAGCAAAACGCTTCAGTTTACCGTGTTCATTCAGCTCTTCAGCTTCAGCACGCGCAGCTCAACGGCTGCTATTTAAAACAGTGGTATTAATTTGTTACTTTTTCAAAATCATTGATATATTATTAATAACAACAACCACTTGTATTGTTCTCTTATTATTTTCATCAACAGTATGGTTTAGTAATTAAAATCATTTAATTATTGTCCGTGCAGAGGCTATTCCGTTTTATTGATCTGTGGCGCATTCATTTTGATTCTTTACACGTGTAATGATGTCCAGTGACTTGTTTGCATTATTTATGCATAATTTTATTTATTTGTAAGGCTTTTTTATGACTAAATTTGGTAATGGGAGAGTAAAAATATTTTTAAAACGTACACCGTTCAAACTAGGCTGCTTATGTTGAAGTGTTTGGGATGTGGCTTTTAATGATGAGACCTTTTTTGTAATCAGGCTCTCAAAAAGTATATAACAATTTGGATATAGATTTATCGGCCAACATATCGGTTATCGGCTTTCAAAAATAAAGAATAATCGGTTATCGGTATCGGCCAAAATGTTCATATCGGTGCATCCCTAATGTATAGTTTCACAAAACGTAAAACCATTCTGTTTTTGATTCAAATTTTGAAATTATACAATCTAATTTAGATTAAAAAATGCTCATGTTGCATGTATGCAGCATCTTTGTTTGGATCATGATTAAAATGCAGTGGTTGCCTCTAATTTTAAATGGAAAGAGCACAGACAAAGCCTTATTTTGTTTATATGAAGAGATTTCTTTTATTTGTGTTACTTATTTATTTGATGTGGGGCTTGTTTTAAAATTTCAATTTAGTTTTGTTATTTACATTTACATTATATTAAAATTTTGTCATTTAGCAGACACTTTTATCCAAAGCGACTTACAAATGAGGACAATAGAAGCAATCAAAACCAACAAAAGAGCAATAATATGGAAGTGCTATAGTAGTATATTATTATAGTGTTACTTCAATTTCACAAAGAAACAAGCAGCATTTTGTCCCAAGCAATAATAAAAGGACACATTGTAATTTTTAATTTGTCTTAAATCTCATTTTGTTAAAATAAAATCGTGAATCGAATCGTGAAATCAAAATCATGAATCGAATCGTGAGTTGATCGAATCCTTACATCCCTATTAATGACAGAATTTTCATTTTTGGGTGAACCATCCCTTTAATATTTTCATGGAAACCGTGATACATTTTTTTTCAGGATACTTTGATGAAAAGAAAGTTCAAAAGAACAGCATTTATTTAATAAAGAAAACAAAATTATTAACATTTTACTGTCAGTTTTGATTAAGTTAATGTACGATTGCTGAATAAAAGTTTTTTTTTTTTATCTTACTGACCCCAAACTTTTGAACAGTGGAGTACACTTGGTCTGCATTTTATGACTGCTTCAGTTGGCCTAATGCCTCAAATAAATAAATTTATAAATATTATGAACAAAAAGTTGTCAACTGCAGATGCCGTGACTAGGTATAACACTTCCAAAACACCACACACACCCTTAAACGTACAAAAAAAACAACAAAGGTGTCTGTTGAGTGTTTTCGTGTAAGGACATGCCCTCTCTGAGATAAGCTGAGCAGTACCTGGCTCATCTGTTACGTCGCTGGTCTCTGGCTCTGTCTCTTCAGCTGATTCTATTTCTTTGACGAAGTTGGAAGGAAAGAGCCCTGACTTCCCATTCATGCTTCCGCTCCACCAGCCCTCCTCAACCTAAAACACAGTCAGCACTAATACAGGAACCGTCCATTCAAACGCTCATTTTCAAAGACAGTGGGTCTCAACTGGTTTCACTTCAGGATGCAGATTTTACACTGGACATCAACTGACAAACCAACACAATAGCAAAATTGTTTAAAGCATGAAGCAAAACTGTCCTAAAAATGCAAAGACTTAAACATATATTAAATTATGTAATATTTTTAATGTTGCTTGAATTTTGATAGGCAGAAACAAAAGAAAACAAAAAAAATCATTGCCATAAAAGAGCCATGATAAATGTAGTCTGGCTTAAAGTAGTCTTTCATTTCAATTTTTTTTTTTTTAAAGATGAGGGAGATGTCAAGCATGTTGGCCATATTGGTATATGTCCATTTTTCTGGTTAGCATCTACTAAAATAGAATAATCTGCACTACAATATTACAGTGTGATCAGAAACACTGTCTTTGACAAACAACACATGATACATGAAGCATTCAGCCTATATATATGCCCATTTATTTTATTCATTTACTAACTATTCACAATTATATGATTACTTGAATGGTTTAATCTGCATTTTATATAGTTGTTTTCCTTCTTGTCTGCAACCCTATCAAAACAGACTTTGGGCCACAAACCACCGTTGGAGAACCACTGATCTTCTTACCATTATGGATGAAGTCACAAAGAACGTTTGAGAGAGAGTATGTAAAATAAATAAAAAAAACGAAATTTGTATTACTAGCTCATGAGAAACATCTGAGCGGGCAACTAACGAGAAATTAAACTTAAGGAACATCTAACTACTTTATCATCATATCTCACTGCAGCATGCAAAAAGCCTATCAAAGAACATTTGCTGTGTGTGGATTTCTATAAATAGAAAACTAATATATTCAGCACAATTTCAAAACATCAAGTTACATTAAGTACAAAAGACAGAAGCTACTGACCTCCTGAGTGATGTCAATGATATCTCCAATCTTCAGTTCCAGTTCGTCTTCATTCTGAGGCACATATTCAAACAGGACTTTGCACTGACGCTTCTTGGGCTCTGTAATGAAAACACAACAAGTCACTCTGGATCTGGCCTGACACGTCGCTCAGCCAATAACGCCAGTATGCAAGGGGAGCGTTTCCTCCAGCTACCTGAAGAGGGCTCAATGAGTAAAGACTAGCACAATCAGGAGGAGTCTTTATTAAACTTGTATGCACACATACACTCTCACACACAGATGCCACACCCTGTCCTTGAGATGATTCATATGCCCTTTAAGGAGAAAAGAAAACGGCAGATTACTCTGTTTGCTCCATATTACATGCCAAATTAAGACATGTTACCGGTCACCCAAAAAATAAACTGAGAAATCTTCTCCACTGCTAAATATTCTAATGCTTGTACATTACAGTTGAAAAGTTTGGGATCAGCAAGATTTTTTATATATTTTTTTTTATATTACATTTACTCCGTAATGATGACGCATTAAATTGATTAAAAGTGACAGTAAACATTTAAAATGTAAAAAAAAGAGGCTTTTAGGTCATAAATGCTGTTCTTTTGAACTTCACATTAAAATAATTCTGATAAAAATATACATAAATTATTTTTAAACAATTTTTTATGTATCAATTATTTTGTCTCATATACTCATCAAGACTGCATTATTTGATCAAAAATACAGTAGAAACAGTAATAGTGTAAAACATTTTCAAAAGTAATTTATTCCTGTATGGCATAGCTGAAATTTCTGAAGCCATAACTCCAGTTTTCAGTGTCACATGATCCTCCAGAAATCCTTCTAATATGCTCATTTGGTGCTCAAGTAACTTTTCTTAATTATTATGTTGTTGTTCTGTTTAATTTTTGTGTAAACCATTAGACATTTTTCAGGATTCTTTGATGAACAGCAAGTAAAAAAAACTGCAATTATTTAAAAATACATATTTTTTAACATTATAATTGCCTTTACTGTCCCTTGCGATTAATTCATTGCTAATCAATTTACAGCTTTTGATCAGTTTAATAATTATTGCTGAATAAAAGTATTACTTTCTTAAAAAAAACTTTCTGACCCCAAACTTTTGAATTTTTTAGTGTACTACTACTACTTAGTATTAAGTTAATACCATGGTACATGAATATAATAATAATTCATTATCACTGTATATTGAAATACTACAGTATTGGCATCAAATTCTATTACTGTATCATTGTACCACCACAGTACTGTTTAGTTCAGTAGAAGGCGCTCTATGGCTGGCTTGTAATGTACGCTGCACTGAGCAGAAATTAAACAAAATATACCTTATTTCCTCAATGGTACAATGTGATAAACCTGCACAGGAGCACAGAGGAAGAGAATCAACACAACTACATTCCACTGTTATCACTGTTTTAGATGATTTGTTCAGCAGAAACCTTGAAGCTAAGACGGCACCACAATCGTTGAGTGTTCTGTGACAATGTTCCCATGCAGCTGGAGAGGATCAAGTGGACTTCCTCTAAAATCTGAGAGTCGTACACTCAAGACTCAAGACAGAGGAAATGAAAACAGGCTTTATGACCCGATAAGAAAGCAACTGCTGCCCACTACTGGCCAAAGCCACCATCGGCTAAACATTTTTGTGCTAAACTCAAAACAAACACACAAAAACAAAAAAATGGTGAAAGATCTTACCATATGCTGTATTATGGTAAACTATATAAAAATCATCTCAGCCTGCTGTGACAAATTATATTGACAACAAAAACTCCCACAATGATACACCAATAACCAATCGACAGTAAAGATGCTGTAAACCATCATGCTAATGCCATTGTCCACTAGACTGAATTAGACCACCACAATCTATAGACCACATGGCCTTCATCCAAAGACACGTCAGCAAACTCAAACATGCAAAATGATTTACAGGTAGAACGTGTTACTGATTTGCTACTTTTGCTCAATGGCTAACAAGCTTGGGAGGATTCGTGAAAATTTTTTGCTGTTATTGTGTCGAGGGCTATCACAGAAACAGATATGTGGTCTGTCAGGTAGAAGGCACATTTTATGTGTGGCATTCTAAAAACAAAATCTCTAAGAAAAAGAAGAGTAAAAAGCTGTTAAGAGTTTGAAATGAAAAAAGACGCACTCTTTTTTGAGGCACGGGGCTGAGAACGAGGTTGTAAGCCAATTCCTCCTGCCGGGATGCCGTAGGTACTGATCCTTTGCACCAGGCTCGCCACATTCCCTGATGCTCGCCGCTGTATCGGAGTCTCATCTTTCACCTCCTTCACTTCTTTAGCCTCCTTTGGCTCATCTTTTTTCACCTCCTTGATTCACACACACACACACACACACACACACACAAAAGAATCAAATATCACATATAGCATCACATATAACAGCAGTATGGCAAATCACACATGATGGTAAAAGTAATTTTATACCACGGACACAACATGTATCATGGTATTTTCCCTGAAAATTCAAAAGAAAATTATCTATATATTAAATAATCATAAGACACTGTGTATTTTTGAAAAATCCAGCAAAGAAAATGCTCCACAAATGAAAGGTAATTCATCATTTTTAATTATTTTCTCAGTTTGTTTGGAACCTGACAGACATCTTCTAAGTCATTTCTCTCATATTAATTTGTCTCTGTATATACACGTTACGCCATGTTTCTTTGTCACTCATAGCATTGCTAGTATATATACTATGGTATAAATGATTTAGCAAAACCTGTTTGATAAATAAATACAGAATTTTTTTTTTCAGTAATACAATAAATAAAAAATCTGAATTTAAGGCAGTTTAAATATAAATGAAAATGTCTGAGAGAATTCAACATCTATACGGCCAACAGCACCTGTAGGTTTTGTTTATTTTACCATGAATGCATGAATTCTTTGTTAGGTTTACATTCTACATTTACATTTACATTCTTCACACTCATGTCATGTAAAATTCTACAGAAACCACTGACTAGCACCTACATTCACGGTTTCCAAACACATGTAAATTCAGCAACACCACAGCCTCCCTCACACATTCAGAAAAAGGTGGGAAGAGAGAGACAGAAGAGAAACAAAGGAGTGATAAGATCTCCAGCGACTTCAGACAGCCGTGTACTCATACGCCCCGAAAAGCAAGTTCTCAGCTCATCCAGCGGAAACTTGCTCTGTGCTTATCTCTCTCTCAATGATATTTGTATTTGGTATGGATATGAAGAGGATCTGAAGTATAGCACTTCATACTGTAAACAAGAATAAAGAATCCTGAGCTGGTAGAGCAAGTGTATTACACCTATTTAGCGTCCAATTCCGCACTGAATTAAGAAACCTTTTAAATTCTTGAATTTTAATTAAGGTAGCACTTCGAATGTAATGAAGCGGAATAAAAATTTAATGAACTTCAAAAAATGGTTTTAAAATAATATATTTCTCCATATGAATTACCAATAAACATGTCAGCATAAACGATATATGGGGTGTTTGCCCCAAACTTTCGAATTGATTTAAAGTCGTCTGAAATGTGTCTGTAGGAGAACCTAAAGTGATAAATCATTTGAAAGAAATTGCATTCTACAAATCAGGGAATTAAATGTTTAATAAATTAATAAAAAAATAAATCATGCAATCATTTAATGTCAACAACTTTAAATCAATTAAATGTAAAAAGTGTTTCTTTCACTATGTGAACCTAGTTGCACAATATACATAAATGCAATTACATTAAAATAATAATAATAGTAAAAAAAACTAAAATGTTAAATTGCTTAACCCTCATTTGCTATGCCAACCGCTTTATTTAGTCTACTACCCAAGGAACTGCAATGGATTTTGGGGCATAATACTATGTTGTTTTTGGAAATGTACTATGGTTGATAAAATGACATTCTTTTAAGTACCCTTTAATACTATGGTAAGCACCATGTAATACATTCAGTACTACGTAATACATCAAAGTACCCTAGCATTATTCTAGCATTGCCACAGTATTACCACAGAAACTCTACAGAAGTCTTTTTAGCTGGGTTTAGACGGACTCAGACAGAGTTTGGGTTTGAGAGAAAGGCATATTGAGCAGCACTCTTTGTTTCCTGGAGGCTCCGGTGCAGAATGGAGAATGCCACTGGCTGCATCCGCTCCAAACTTCCTGTCTGAGATGCTGACAAAGAAATTCCTTTTTGTTACTCCCTGCTCAGTAACTAATTTGAGGTCAGCCTTCTCAACCTTTTTAAAGCTCCTGGTTTTCTTATAATACCTAAATAATTCATCATTATAATTAATAAATAAATATACAAAATTATCTGTACATGAAACCAGTGTACTGAAAGCGGTACATCAAATCAGTAAAAAAAATAAAAAGGAGGTAATCACTTCAAAAACTATTCTTGTCTAAAAATAATTACATACAAAAAATGAAATCTTTATTTAAAACACAAATGTTCTAAATGCACAATTGTAGAAAATGAACTTTAAGAACGCAATAAAATTGTGCCGTTAGTGTAAAAACATTTTTTTACTAAATTATTTTCTGGTTATGCTTTTCCAGTAAGTGCCCTTTAAATCCTGTGCTATCTGCGATCTGTCTGGTGATTCAGCGAAACATGCAATGAAATCCAGTGCCATGTTATGAGAAACTAGATGAACAGAAAACCAACTAAAGACAAAACATTTCCAGTAACATGCTTTCCAGACACGAAAAGCCCAAGATCTTATTTAGATATGAACTGACAGACAGACAGACAAACTAAAACAAGCTCCTTACCTGCTCGATTTCCATGATCTTCTCCAGAAACCACCTGAGTGCTGACTATCAAATCTTTCCGGGATCAAAGTTCAGTTAAGGGAGTGGAAGATTACCTCACACCCTACTAAAGGATCTCCGCAAGGAAACGAAAGCAATAATTTCCTGCCTTTGACAAGATTTGCCATTACAATCGACTTTAATGTGGGTTTCATCACGCTGCTTCAGTAACTACTCAAAACACTAATTAAGAGGTACACAAGTTGAAGATGAAACTGCAATCCCTGCAATGACACATGGACTTAAGAAAACCCCTTCCTTCCTGTTGCCACTCAGTTTTTGCCAACCACAAGGCTTTTTACCTTTCTTTGTTTCCTTACATAAACCCAATATATTAAATAACATAAAAAAAGCATTTCTTGAAATTACCTTTACAAAGTTGTCTGGGAAAAGGCCTCGCTTCCCGTTGAGGTCTCCCTCCATCCATCCCTCCTCCTCAATCCGTCGCACATTTCTGATCACATCTCCAAGTCTGAGGGTCAACTCATCTTCGTGGGTGGCTTCATACTCAAACTCCACCACCACCTCAACTACAAAGGATAGAACAGACAGTCATTGAAAGTCATGCTGTGATTAAGACTCTGATAAAGGTTGTTTGTGACATAATGGCACAGATATTACTTAACAAGGATGTACAGTAAAATATAACCCAGGCTTTTTCACACCAAATACAAACTAATAAAGCAAAACAAATGCAGAAATTAATGGTTTCTCTCAACAACAAATGGTCTGTTTGCATTGACACACACAGAAACTGATATTGTATACAATTTCAAATGTATTGATGGTCCTTAAAGGAATAGTTCTGTCATCATTTACCCACATGACTTTAGGGTCTTTCGTGAAACGCATATGGATAAAAAAAAAATGAAAAAGCACATTAGTTATCATACAAGTAGTCCAAAAGTCATATGAACGTCACATGGGTGAGAAAATTATGAGAATATTAAAGGGGTCATATGATGCTATTTTAAAGATCATTATTTGGTGTATTTGGTGTAACAGAATATGTTGACATGCTTTAATGTTCAAAAAACACATTATTTTTCAAATACTGTACATTATTGTAGGTCCTCTATGCCCCGCCTCTCTCAAACACGTAGTTTTCAACAAAGCCCCCTCCTTTGACAAGCGCAGTCTGCTCTGATTGGCCAGCTGACCCAGTGCATTGTGATTGGCCGAACACCACAAGCACG